GGGGTCGCCATGGCTTTGGCGTTGTCCATTTCAAACCGTTTTAGGAGCTCCTTGCAATAAAAGACCAACGCTAGAGGGGGGGTGAATAGCGTTTGATCAAAAATCGCAGGAATAAAAATGAATAAACGAGAAGTAAAGAGAAGAGTAAGAGGCACACCGATTTTACCCTGGTTCACCACAACTTGTGGCTAATCCAGCCTCCCGAGAGACTCTCTCGAGCTACACTACTATCTCGTTAAGCTTAACGGTGCTTAACAAACCCGTACAACTTGAGAGTTCGAGTCACACGAACCTCAACAAACCTTCGAAGGAAACAACCCTTCCTTCGAACAACAAGAGAAATACTTTCTCTTGTCAAGTGTCTAAGAACACAAAAAAAACTCTCAAGAACAATACTCTCTTTTAGAGTGGATAATGAGTAACTAAGTACGCTCAAGAACGCAACACAAGCTTCACAAAATGGCTCTCAAAAAGCTATGAAAAAGTGATGAATGATTTGCAATGAAAGAGTAGAAGTTGTGAAGTTATGTAATGATTAACACAGACCCAAACACCCCATTTTATAGTGGAAAAATAGGCTCCAAAGGACCAACAGCGATGTCCAATACCCCTACATCGCTGTTTTGGCTGTTGACTTCCAAACAAGGAAAGTTTTAGCCTTAAATTTCTTCCAACGGTCAGGTTCCTACATCGATGTTCATTACTTGAACATCGCTGTTTAGGTCTGACTTTTGAAGATGGAAGTTTGGCCTGACAACGCTGTTGCTGGGTCAACATCGCTGTCCAAAAACTTTCTCCCAATGCACTGTATTTTTGGCTTAGGTTGGACAGCGCTGTAGGGAAGCCTACATCGCTGTTCCAGAAGTTTCTGGAAATCCAACCTTTGCTCAACAGCGATGTCTAACATCCAACATCGCTGTTGGAAGACTTAACGCCAAACCATGGTTTTCAGCCACCCAAGCCAGACAGCGCTGTTGGTTTCACCAACATCGCTGTTGGGCTGGTTTAGCCAGACCCATGGTTGGTTTAGTCAGCCGTTAGCCGATGTCAAAAATGTAAGTTCTCCAAAATAAAAAACAAGTATTGAAAATGTTTGTTTATTGTATTTTGCTAAGAAATCAAGTAAAACATTTTGAAAACCACGTCATTTAGTTGAAAACCACGGCTAGCCAAGTTTACGCTGTTTCGCATGGTTTTCACTAAACGACCAAAAACGAAAGGTGGTTTTTGAAGCGTTTTTGTTGGAGAACTATTTAAACATGCCCAGAAGTAAAAACTAATCATTAAAAGTTGAAAACCACTTGGTTGGTTCGGACGCCAAAAACCAATGCCGATAACCGAAAGCCGAACGCCGGTTTCCGAAGACCGAACACCGGATGGCTTGGTTTTTGGTTTGGGCGAACTCCAAGTGTTTTTAGGCAGTTTAAAACTTAAGAGAAACATTTTTGAATATGCAAAAGATATATGATGAGAGAAGCCTAGAGAGCCAAGATTTGAAAGTTTGTGCCGGTCTTGATCACATTAAGACCAACTCAATAGAATTCTAATTCTTTGTTCTTGATTCTTGGTTCTTGGTTCTCAAATCATCATGCCATGTTCCTTCGCCTTGGTTTTGCTCACTTTAACCTTGTTATTGTCACGGCGGTTTGGCATTATCAAAACCTGTCATAAAACGAACACAGTTTAGTACGACGTAGGCGTACACCCGTGTTCCAACAACAACTACCCCCACTTACTTTATTTATTACACCTCACCTACCTCATTTAATGCACTCCACCCATTTTTCATTAAGGGTATTATGGTAAACTTTCACCTTTTTTCAACTCTCCTTAAAAACCACCAAAAGTCAAAATGAGAACATCTTAGGGGGACAGAGGGAGTAATTTATTTATATAAAATTCTGTTTAGTACCAAAATTTTACAAAATTGGAAGTGATATAATAAAAAAAATTATTACGATTTTTATTTTATTTTTTTTATTACTATTTCAATGAAAACGTAATAATAATGTATGGTACATAAAATGCACTCATCTTTGTTTAATTATTTATATTCTTACCATTTTTATTTTAGTATTTTTATTAGTATTTCGATGAAAAGGCTAGGTAATAATGCATTTCTTCCAAAAATAAGATATTTCCATAAAAAGTACTCCCTCCTATCTGAAATGATCTTTCCATTTGATTTTTATTGGTCAAAGTTTGTAAACTTTGACCTTGATGTATGGAAAAAATACATTGTATTTCGATATAAATATAATATCAATAGTTTCCTTATGAAACGTAGTTTTGAAATATTAAATTTACATAAAATATATCTATGTATAAATGGAGATATTAATGGTCAAAATATAAAGTGGAGACCGTGAAAAGTCAAATGAGAAAATCATTTCCGAACGGATGGAATAATAATATAAGTAATTATATCAACGGTTGGGTTCTAGAGCTACTCAAAAAGAGTGGCTACGGAAGTCACTCACCCAATTGGGACACCAACGATGCTCCGTTCGCAAAATTGATAGTTCCTACCCCCTCTAGCCCCCTGGTAAACCCCCACCCGGTCCCGACCCCAACTCATCCCCCTAACCACGTCAATTGCGGGGTGCAAATTTAGTTGACTTTGGAGTCCAAAAAATTAACATCAAAGGTAAAAAAATTAACATTATTTATATTTATTTTAATAATGTATATTTTAGTTTATAACCAAAATTTTCATAAAAAGTAATAAAAATTTATTTCTTGTTTAAAAGGTAATAGTGTGCCGTAAGTGAAATTAATTATCTCTATAAAAGGTAATATATTACCATAAGATTGAAAGCTAAGCGTAAAATTTTTAAAAGCTATTAAACCATTTCCATAATTAAATTGACATTATATAAAAGATATATTGGGCAATAGTGTACAAAAAGTTTCCTAAAAATAAACTTTATTTCAAAACTATTTCCATTCTTACCTTTTTTAGCTTAGTATTTTTATTGTTATTTCAATGTAATACATGCCTAACAAAAATAATATATTAATATAAAAATATTCAACCATTTAATAATTATAAATTATTAAACACGTGAGCGTTCTATTTCAATATTATTAAACACGGAAACGTTCTATTTTAATTCTTACCATTTTTAACTTAGTGTTTTTATTACTATTTTCAACGTAATAATAATAACCCTTCTGAAGACGTTTATAAATTATTAAGGACAACTATATATATAAACATTAATAGTATTAAAATTTCTATAATATAATATGTTATAAGCACAATTATTATTATTATTTAAAAAAGTTTATTAATTATTAACTGAATTATATATGAAAACATTGATATATTATTAAAAATTCCATAATATAATACGTCATATGCAAAATTATTATTAATCATGACACATGTAAACATTATTAATTATTAAGCACAATTATACATGAAACATTCCAAAGATGAATAATGGCCGTGGATCAAGATTCTGACGCTAATCGACGGTTCACAACGTACGCGCGTTTAGGCGGGAAAAATTTCCTCTGCTTTTAAGAATAGTATTGATGTAGGTAAAAGCATATCATATTTCAAAGTAATATTGTAGAGCTTCATCTTGCTAAAAAATAGAACATGTAGAAAACTAAATATAGTATAGTGTTGGATAAATTTGTTTGAATAATGTTATTTTTTAAAGAAGTTGTATGAGGTTTAGAAATACCAAAAAAATGAAT